CAGCTGCCCTGCCTGCCGCAGCTGTGCCTGGGGAAGCAGAGGAGCCAGCCTCTGGCTCAGGCACGCAGCAGCCCCAGGAGGCCACGCAGGTCCTGGATGCGCTCCCACCTGGGTAAGTGGCTCTGTTGCAGGCCTTAGGCTCTCTTTCAGGGCAGCTGTGTCCTGCTTTGCTTTGCAGGGTGATGGTACTAGAGACCCTCGGCTCGCTCAGAAAGGTGCTTTGGGCAAGGTGGCCTGTGGGCCTCTCTCTGGAAAAGCCAGCTCTTGAGAGGCTAGTGAGGCGGGAGTCTGGGTCCGGATCTTGGCAGCTTCCCAGAGCCAGCTCGGAGCAGTGCAGCCTGACAGCTGGGCCCTGCCCTTCCGAGGAGAGTTGTTTGGGGTAGCACATCCTGCCTCTGTGCCAGGGCTAAATGAGACGACCCCTGAGGGCCCTCCCACCCTCCAGTCACGGAGCATGGAGAGGGTCTGAGAGCTGCTCCTTCCTTGCAGCTGCAGAGAGCTGCACACAAACATGTCAGGTGCTAGGGGGGCGAGAGTGGAAAGCAACCGAGGCTGCTGGCTCCTGCTGCTGCTTTCAGGAGGAGCTGTTGGTTTTGGTCCATTCCCACATGACGCTGCCTCTGCTTCAGTGGCACGAAACAGCCCTGTCCCTCTGAGCCACGTGGCTGAAGAATGGTTGTGCCATGGGGAGTAGGGACACAAATCCCTTTCAGGCTCTCAGGGGGTGTCACAAAGGTGAATTTGGTGGGGTCGGGAGAGGAGTGTGGAGCCCTGACAGACCCAGGGCAGGGTGGAGACGTGATACAGAGCAACGGGGCTCTCTAGACACCCCAGGACAGGAGGCTGGAAAAGCCATAAAGGAGCCCTTGGAGATGGGGGACGCCTCGCTGCCCCGTTGGTGTAGAGCAGGGATGTCTGCACTGAGCTGGCCACCCTGGGCAGCAGAGGGGACCAGGGAGAGGCCTCTCTAGGATGCCTCGGCAGCACAAGGCCTGGCCAGAGTGCCAGGCAGCTCCTGGAGGCAGCGTCACCAGGTTCGCCGCATTGCTGTACCAGAGAGCACGTCAGAATTGGCTCTTCCCCCATGCGGAGTCCTCTGCTCCAGCTGGCTTGGAGTCCTGGTCCCAGGCCGCCTCCCTCCAGGTGCCAGCGAGGGCCCCGACTCCAAGCAGGGAACATGTAGGCCCCAGGACAGGAACGCGGCTTTCTCACACCCTGTCCTGCCACGGTGGCTTTGCAGGGGCATCTGGGGGCAGGGCTGAGGAGAGGAGAGGAGACGTGTTGCTGCGTGTGCTGTCCCCTGGTTAAAGCTGTATGACCGTCTCTGAGACTGGCCCTGCTCAGCGCCTGCCCCATGCGGCACTTCTCCTCCTGGACTCCAAACACCGCCGTTACTTTGGGGCATGAAGGCAAAGCAGCCAGAGGGGGTTGAAAGGGAAAATGGCCTCCCGCATTTCCTATGGAGCGAGCTGTTTATTTTCCTTTCGCAAAGCCAATGCCTGGAAGGTCAGGGCCTCCCTCGTGTGTCAGTCACAGGTAATTAGGGTTAACGGCTCAGTGCGCCTTTATGCGGGGTGTGTGAGGGTTACTGTTCTCGGGGCTCGGGCACTTCCTGTTTCCAGGCAGCTGGAAAAGTCCAGCACTCTGAAAAGGTCTTTATTCCAGCTGGAGTGTGTGCCTCCCGCCGGACGGCCTCGTTCTCCTCCTGCCCCCGCCGGTCCCAGGTGGCAGCGGGCGTTGTCGCTCCCGGCACGCGGGGGTGGCGCACGCCTCACGAATGGGATCTGTGGAGGCCTCTGCAAGGGGCAGGGGGATGCTGCACCCTCGCACCAACAGGCTGTCCAGCCGCCCACCCCCCACAGCACTGTGGAGCTGGGCCAAGGATGGGGTTGTCAGCCAACCAGGCCCAGCGGTGGACCCCTCTCGGGGCAGAGGTGCACGCCCAGCTGTGCTACGGGAGGCAGCAAAGGCTCAGCTTCTCTGTTTCTCCCCTTGGTCTGAGGGGCTATAGAGGCAGCTGTGCTGCTTCTGGGGCTTTCCCCGTCCCCCCGCCAGCTAGAGGAGCAGCCGGGGTAGATCGAAGCACTCACTTGCCCCCATTACTCAAAACTCGCGCTGGGTTGGAGTGAGTCGCCTGCCCTGTGCTCTTGAGCATGGAGCCTGGCATGTGACCTCCTGGTGCAGACTCTGGGTCAAGAGAGGCTGGCCTGGGTTTTGAGGGCACCGGTGGCCTGTTTCAGCTCCAGAGAAGAGGTAGAGCTACCCCAGACCAAACCCAGCCTGATGCCTGGAGCCTCAGGCGTACCTCAGGACAGCTGGTGGGGGGGGGGGGGGGGGCGCAGGGTTCCCCCTCC